TTCTTCTTCTAAATATATGGTTATTAAATAAATAATTAAAAAAACTAACTAAGTTCTCACTTCCTATTAAAAACTTATCATAAGGTTTTTTTTCCCCTCAGCCATAACGTAAGGAAAACGTTTAATTGCTAAGAAATATACAAAATAATAACAACTTAAAAACCATGCCATTTATATTAACTGTATCATTTAGAAAATCTATATATCATTTAGAAAATATTTTTTGTTTTTTTTTTAAGATTTATTTTAATTTTATGTGTTTACATGTTTTGCCCATATGTATATGTTGCATGGTATGTGCACAGTGCCTGTGGAGGCCAGAAGAGGGCAATGGAGCTTCTGTGTGGGTGCTGGGACTCAAACCTGGGTCCTTTGCAAGAACAGCAAGTACTCTTAACTGCTGAGCAATTTCTCCATCCCCAAAGTTTTTTTTGTTTGTTTGTTTATTTGTTTTTTTAAGAGGCAATCTCATGTAGCCCAGGCTGTAACCCAGGCTGGCCTCCTACTTGCCATGCAGCCAAGGCTAGCATTGAACTCCTGAGCTTTATTTTTATAGCTTATGTTACAGATTGGGGAGCCTTCATGGCTCCAAGTGCTGTATCTAAGCTTAAGTAGTTATGGTGACTCTTGGTCAACTAAAAGCAAGAAAAAGTATAAGGAAAGGAAAAGAAAAAAAATGGAATGAACATTTAGCAAGAGAAAAAGGAAAAAATGTGTGCATGCTACATCCTTGCTACTCAAAGTGCATGGAGGGCTGGCAGACTTAGCAGCATCTATCGTCTGAATACAAATGCAACATCTTAGGCCTAAGGATGGAGATCTTCATTTTTCATAAGATTTCCAGATGGTTTATATGTATAGTAAAGCTTAAAAAGCACTGGTTTAAAGTTTCAAAGGTCTTCATTGGCTCAGTTTAGGTCCCTAAGCTGATTACAGACATATAAATTTACATAGAATGAATTTAAAGATGAATATAGCATCTCAGGAGTTTTACAGACTTTTCCAAAGGTTATTTATCCAGAAACCAGATCATTCAAGAATAGAGAAGCCATCATAAACAAAAAGCTCCTGCACAGGTAAACCAGAGTTCAGGGTCACAGAGCTGGGAATAGAATTCTTCAGGTCTTCATTTGGAGTTTCATTCACTTTTGCCATATTTTTAATAAGCTTAAATAAGTTGAATAGATCATTGAAGATAGGGTAATTACTTGATAATAATACATGGGCAGCAGCAGAAACAACAGCAGACACTCAAGTAGCATAGCAACGTGGGCTGCTTAATGTGAGGGCCGAAGGTCTGTGTCGCTAAATGACTCTTAGAGTGCAGACCTACTTTTTGAGAAAAGCATTGCTGGTTGATTTCATCATAGCACGAACACCATAACATGTACTTCTACACACCCACATGGTGTAGCAGTACTGTGCACTGTACATAAATGTATGCATTATACCTGCAGTACAACGGGTTTGTTTGTAGTAGCATCACCGCAAACAAGTGAGCAATGTGCTGTACCATAACATTAAGGCTGCTGTAATATTACTAGGTGATAGAAATTTTTCAGTCCTATTATAACCTCCTGGAACCACCACAGTGTATATAGTCCATTGTTGACGAAACTTTGTTATATAGCACACAACTAGAGTGGAACTGATACAAATGTTTAGGAAGTCTGGAAGAAAATGCATTTTTTTTTTCCTCTGCCATCTTAAGTCCATCTGCTTCTACCACTGACTCTACCATATTGCTAGTTTCTTCTCTTCATTTTTCTGGTAACAAAATAGGAATTAAGTA